AAAAACGGTCCTCTAAGATGCAGTACAAAGTGAAATTAAATACACAATTCAAGCATCCATTGGAGACACATTCTCTGTCGGTCCAATAAGATATGAGATTTATTCACGTTTGTAAGTAGTATTTCGAGTAGCTCGTGCATATAAGATGTATTCATCCCATTTTGTGTAATTCAATTTTCCCCAAATCAGACGACTAGTCCTTACGCTTCCGTTAAAATGCACATGTCCTGGCTCTCCAAGAAGGGGTTCTCATCCAGTCAGGGATGGACTGAAGATTGGACCTTGCTTGAACTGGGCTTATCAGCAATCCCCGGCAGGACTCTAATCGGGGCTTTGTTAGTGCATCATAAAGCCCCGATACGTTAACCACCACACCAAACGGCCACAAGTGTCCCCGAGTAACAGGAAAGATGCACATTTCAAGAGGGGCCTGGCATCTTTCCCTCATCATATTCCGTGGTGGGATTGTTGAAGAAGCAAAGTTATATTTGATAAGGCAATCGACTACATTACTTTTTTTCGTTTATTAGTGCGTTTTAGAGACCACCACTTGGTCGGTTAAATGTAATGTCTTCATCCAATTTCACTTAAAGTGATCAAGGAATGGTATTTTAATTTTCACACAATCATATGAGTAGACCCAAATCACCTTAAATGAAATAGGGTCACCTCATATAAATGGCCTACTGGTAGTCTCTAAGACCTACTTATAAACGAAAAACAAGTAGTATAGCCAATTGATTTAGTCAATGCAATTGTTCTTCATCGTGATATGGGAAAATACATTGGCCTTCCAAGAGCAATCGTGGCAACGTGGCGTAGTGGGCAGCATGTTGAGGCATCATGATGCTCTAATAAAGCCCCGGTTCGAGTCCCGCTGGGGATGCTGATGAGACCAATCCAAACTGGGTCGAAACGGCAGTCCACTCCTGCCCGGGGAGTGGACACGCTTTGGGGAGGGTCAGACTGTGTGAAATGTACTGAAGGCATGAGGCGGAGTCATATGGTTGTGGGAAAATGCAGCTACCAGTCCTTCATCTCCTCAAACCGAAAAGGAGCTCTCCTTCGGTTTCCGACTAGACCGCTTCACGCAAAATGTAAGTTCTGCCAACGGGGAACGAGACCTTCCTGTCGATCTTGCCTGATTCGAGCCGTTGGTCACGCACTGCTGGCTATCCTCCTTCGAAGCCCTCGCACACTCACCAGTTGGGATCGCGCAGCACCCGCGCAAACGTCAACGGATCCGGATCCAGCGCCGGAGCAGCACGGTCAGCCGAGACCTCTTGACCCGGATCTGCCGAACGCCTGGCGTCAGGCTTTGCTGTATCATGGCGTTGTTTTTCTGATTCGTGCGCAGACACGACCGGCTCGAGGGGACTCGAACTAGCGACCGACGAGCCACGGGCTTGTCCGGCCGAGGTGAGGTCGTGCAACAGCTGGCCGATGTTGCTGCCCTCGGGGCGGAGGGGGGCGGCCGAACTGGGTGCATCAGAGGTCGGCTCGGCCGAGGGGGTTCTGGAGGCACGGCCTGATTGG